AACCAGCTCAGGCACCAGAAAGTACTGTGAGCTCTCTGAAAGGACCTGATACTGTAAATTGGTGTAGTAGCCACCACTGTGATTAGCACGTATCTCACAATTACCCATTACTTCCATGATACTCATTACCATGACTCCAAGAGAATTGGCTTGTTCTCATGTTCCTTCTAAAGATAACAAAAGGCAGAGCTTAACAGTATGATTTATTAAAAATGCCATAAGAAGGATAGTAATTTATTTCAGTAATAATTAAAAATGTTATGAACCAGTCAGATGCAAAGACATACTTTCATTCCAGAATTCCATATTTATAGAATTTTCCGATCCCTCTTGAGTCATTGTTACTCTTTTCCACCAGAGAGCCACACTGTGTGCAAAAGTGAGTAACACCACAAGTTCTCCTGCCTTTTTTCCTTTAATGATTAATATGGTGGTGATTTTTCCACTTGGATCCACTCAAACACTGGCTGAATAAGGCATTAGCTCTAACTAATATCTTATCAGTATTAATTTCACAGCTAATTTGAGCAACTGTTTTGCCTGCCTACTTGTGGATTTTAGGAAAATACTATTTGTATCATAAGCATACAAACTGGTAATCAAAGCAGCCAGGAAATGCTCTTTAGTCCACCAAAAAGGGCATGCCTGTTCATTAAAAACAATTACAGACTGACCATGCAGTCAATTGTGTCTGAAGTTCTGGAGCATTTACAGGATATGGAATACCATTGAATCAAGTGAGCAGCTTGAAAGTAAAAATCCAAAATAAAGGAAAGATCAAAACTGGACATAAGAGAGGCATGTTTTAAAAATCAGCTGTTTCTTCATTTGGGAGAAAATGTTTCAGAAGGGGAAAAAAAAAAAAGAGCTTTTAATCTGCTTTGCAAGGCTCAGAAGTATAGTGGATGACATACTGATCACCTCAATTTGCCTGGAGTTCTGCCACCGACTTCCAAAGAGCCCAGATTTCACAGACACAGTGATCAGGTAGAAGAAGAAATCTCTTTGTAGGGCAAGGTGTCCTTCATTTCCTATCTCAGTGCCAATTACTGCTATAGGCTTTCTTCACAGGTCACTAACAAAAGCATGTAAGCACACGCTTAACTTACCTCTGTTCGAAGGCCTTTTAATTAACTGCAAACACATGTCTATGTCTTTTCCTTGATAAAGCTGCTTTCCTGAATCAGTGCCTAACTGTGAATCCAACCTAGAGCTACATGAACAGTCATACTCACTTTTGTGTTGTTTTTTGGTACAAGGAACAACCTTTTTATATGCAGGTATCTGGACAGTGAGTGCTTCTGTTGGCTTTGGTGATGCTGACTGCATCTAATTTGAAGAAACCTTGTAAGGACAGCTACCAGAGAGATACTGCCTGCGAGAAACGCAGCCTAAAATGAATGCTGACAGCCTTGAAGTGGAACAGACAGATGGAGACACGTTTGCCACAGTCCCAGAAAGCCCTCATTAAAAGCCAACAGGTCTGATGACTGCACAGAAAGGGGAAGAGCTGGGTGTTAAAAGGAGGCCGTGTGCTCTGTAATATGTGACTGCATTGGCACCTAGGCAGGGTTTCACCTTTTCCAAGTGGAAAGGCACACAGTGATGAAGAGCCCTACGTGGTGGAGATCTCTGCACTTGCAACCCTGCTCAGAAATTCAAAGGGGAAAAGCAGTGACTTTATTTGCTCAGCAAACATGCTGAGTAATAGCAAAACTCCCAGCCAAAGTCCTTCACACAGGGCTCGGCTGGCTCAGGAGAGCCCAGCAGGACTCGGTACAAAACGTTTGGCTGCAGGACAGGTGACAAGCAGCAGCTTTCTGTTCAGACTTGTCACCTGGCTCTGGGAGGGGAGGGAGCTGTGTGCCAGACATCCACAGCTACTTCTCCCTTCGGAACACAAAGCATTTATGGTAAGTAAACAGATTTTAGATGGGTCCTTCCACATGTGTGGACCGGAAGCTGAGCTGAGAAAGAATTCTTTGAGTCATGAACAATGCCTGGAAGCTGAAAAAAAAAGAAAAAACAACAAAAAATCCAGAGTCCTCCCTACTCTGAAGACAAAGTATTCTGCCTAAAAGCATAGGCAGGAACATTGTGTCTCCTGTAAAACACCATTTATGGTTTCATTAGGTACCTGTATCAGTCACTTTCCCATCAGTCTTAAAATTGATGGTGTTGCCAGATGGACAGCCCTAAATTAGGAAATATCCCTGTTCCTCTTGGCTGCTGGTGTATGGTAATACAATAGAAAAGCCTGGAAACAACAGTGTACAGCCCACTGGTTTACAAGAAAGTGTGGGGAAGAGGTAGCGGCGGGAACTCCTGTGTGGTCCAGCTGCCAGTCCATGCCTGGCACATCCAGCAGCCACAGGGGATCATTCATCAAAGTCCCTGTGTTTGAAGCCCATGGAGACAAGAGTGGCTGGGTCAAAACTGTATGCCCAGCCCTATTCATCAGGGAGCAGTGGAAGGCCTCAGGAACCATTTTTCTTCCCTGCCTGGGAAGACACCACACCCTCCCATTCTCCTGGGGTATATTGTCCATGTCTTGTGGCTTTTGGCCCCAAGTAGAATTAAGCACTCAGCATGGTATAGCAGGACAAAAAGCTATCCCTGGACATGGCTAAAGATCAGCAAGATGCCATCCTGTAAGGGGAAAGATGCAGTACACTGGACAGTGGTGTGAGGCAGATCAGGAGGTCTCATGGTGAAGAGATGTAAAAAGGATTACAAATTGATCTGGACATCATTTGCATACCAGGAAAGGAGTCCAAAAAGCCCTAACTCCCCTCCTTAAATCAGGCAAAGCTCTTGACAAGTTTATAATGAAGATTTATCCATCAGTGTTCTACTGATATTGATATTCTGCTGATTTCTCTTAGGAGGGGATTGAGTACTTTTAATCAAGAAAACTATGATGACACCCTGGTGGCAACCAACTAAAACCCAATTTCACTAATTCCTGGAGCTGAGCCAATGAGAGAGACCAAACTTGTTGTTCTCCCTTCCTTCCTAGCTAAATTCCATTGGATTAATAGCAATCTCTGTAAAATGATAACCCACTTCACCTGCAGTAATTAAAAGAGGTTTGAGCTGCACCAGTTTCTTTGACCCATATATCCTAAATTTGGGCAATTCTTCCTTGTTAAACTAATGGCTTTGTGTGGGAGTGAGGACGACACAACATGGGCATGTTCTGTTTGCATGCAATTGCCTTTCAGCTTCCCGGTTATTTACTTGTTAGTAAGTGACGTCAGGGCATACGGGAAGCCAGGTGAGGAGAATGTTATAGCAATCTAATTGCTGACTCTTTTTACAATGGCTAGTAAAGAATCCTGCATGCATCCTAGATTTTGACCCAAGGATACTTTCACAGGTAACATGGTTTAGGGTCACAGGTCATCACAGCAGTACCTCTGGTGCCCAAGCCAGCTCTGCCATGTGAGGAAAATTAAGCAAAATGGCACACATTCCCGCTTATCCCACACATGGATAAGAGTGTGGTATCCAGATGTGGGCTCTTGGGGATGCTGCCGAGCACAGGGGAAGCCTGTCCTGAATCACTGCTCTTCAGTTATTCTCATTGACAAAGCTTTCCTTGTGGACACGTGAGCACCTTCTGTCATTTTACTGCCCAAATTAAGTCAGGAACCTTTGCTCGGACCCTGAATCACAATCCCTTTGAAATCTCCAAGTACAGGAACAACATTTTGCGTTCTGGCTACATCTTCCTTCTCAGGCCACCAGTTCTCCTCCAGCCTCTGTGGGTCCACAGCTCCACCTCCACGGCTGCTGTCTCCTCTCCACGCTCTGCTCATGGAATGTTCTTTCACACTCTGTCTCTTGCTGCCGTGTTTGTTGGTTCCCTAGAACACAGTGAGCAAAGAGGTCAGCTCTGCCTTTTTGGAACTTTGGCCGTTTATTTTTTTTTTATATGTTGTGGTCACACGTCTGTGGTTTTTCCGGATGTCTCAAAACACTTGCTTTCCCTTTCCTAACTACAAGCGTAACAAACCAGTGTCCAGGGAACCGACCTTTTGGCATTAACATATTTTTCCCTATATTGTTATAGAAAAATTATTATAAAATTTATTAATTCGTATTTAACATTATAGAAATTATTATATATTTATTTTATGAATATGTTCTTATATTATACAGCCTTCTAAAACTTCAAGCAGAACTTCTTGTAAAAACTCTTCCAATTTTTTTAGCCTCCCATCAGTTATTAGTGGTCGCGTTCGCACTTATCTTCCTGCCCTCAGTGGCAGAAACAGGAAAAGATTAAAAATTAATCTTTTAATTAGACGGAGGAAAAATTAAAGAGAAAGATTAAACAGAGAAAATCAAACAGAGACGCCCGCCCCCGCAAAAAGTCGCCGAAGACCGCAGATCCCACCCGAGATCCCCGCTCCGGGCGCGTGACGTCACAGCGCCCCTCACGCCGGGCCCCGCCCCCGGGCGCGCGCCGGGCCGGGGCCGTGTGAAGCGCACCTTTTGCACGAGTCCCGCTCGCCGCGGGCGGGGCTGCGGGGGCGGGGCGGGAGGGGAAAGCCGGCCGGTGAGCCAATGGGGATCCGCCGTTCCCCGGCGCGTCACGCCTGGCCCCGCCCACTCCCCGTTCCAGGCGCGGGCGGGCGGAACGGGGAGGCCGCGGCCCGCTGGGCGTTAACGGGCGGGGGCGGGGCGCCGCTGTCGCGAGGGCGCGCTGGCCAATGGGGAGCGGGGCCGGGCGCGGGGGCGGGAGGGCACGGCCGGGCGGGCGGGGCGCGCCGGCCAATGGGGCGCGGGCGGGGGCGTGTCCGAGGCGGCGCTCGGGTTCCGTGTGAAAAGAGTGAGGGGGCTCGGGTGCAAAGTTTGCTCGCCCGGCGCCTGCGGAGGGAGCGGCGGCTGCGGCGGCGGCGGCGGCGCGGGGGGAGCGGAGCGGAGCGGCCGCCCGAGCGCTCGGGGCTCCGACCGCCCGCCGCGCTCCTCGCGCCCCCGCCGGGGCAGCCGCGATGTGCGGGGGGATGGCGGCTCACGGTCCGGGCGGGCCGCGGTGCTGGCAGAACCGGCGGGCGCGGCTGCTGTGCATGCTGGCGCTCACCTTCCTGTTCTTCGTGGTGGAGGTGGCGGTGAGCCGCGTCACGTCGTCGCTGGCCATGCTCTCCGACTCCTTCCACATGCTCTCCGACGTGATGGCCTTGGTCGTGGCGCTGGTGGCCGTGCGCTTCGCCCAGCGCACCCGCGCCACCAAGAAGAACACGTTCGGGTGGGTGCGGGCCGAGGTGATGGGCGCCCTCGTCAACGCCGTGTTCCTCACCGCCCTCTGCTTCACCATCCTGCTGGAGGCCATCGAGCGCTTCACGGAGCCCCACGAGATCCAGCAGCCGCTGGTGGTCATCGCCGTGGGGGTGGCGGGGCTCATCATCAACCTGCTGGGGCTCTGCCTCTTCAACCACCACGGCGTCGGGGGCCACGGGCACGCCCACGGCCACGGGCACTCGCACGGCGGCCGGCAGCAGCACCCCCGCGGCGGCCCCAAGCCCGAGCAGCCTCCCGGGGACGGGGAGGCTGCGCTGAACCGCGACGAGACCAGCACCTTGGTGGAGAACTGCAGCAGCTCCAACGGAGTCAGCCAGGAGAAGCTGGGTAAGCCCCGCGGGGAAGCGCCGCTGCTCCATCCACGCGTAGAAAAGCGGGAGGGGTAATTTTCCCGAGTGGGGCCGTGGCCGTCCTGGTCCCACCTGGTGCGGGCTCTGTCAGGACTCTGTGAGGACCATTCTGTCCCCACTCCTGGAAAAGAGGCGAGAAACTTTCTTAGCAGCTCTTGTGGCACATGGCTGTCGCACCTCTTCCTCACGCCTTTCCTTCGGATGCCCTAAGCTGCATGTTTGTCTTGTAGACAGGTCAGAGTGTAAGAGAGTCTCAGGATAAAGCAGTTTGCCCTGGGGAAAGATTTGGTTCTGCAAGGAAAGGCACATGACAAGCGTTTCTTGCCTGGCCACACGAGCTGTCACAAGACGCTCTCCTAATGCTATCCGAACTGGCTGTGTGGCTCAGTGCCTTGGTCCTGGCAGCTGGATTGCTCCATTGGGTCAGTTATCAGTTACCTGGGAAGCTAGTCTTCATCTAAACCAAACACACGGAAGCGTATTCCACTGCAGTAATGTTGTGTCTCTTCATAGTATCGGTATTAATAGGAAGAAGTCTTGGAAATTGCCAGTCAGAACTGTGGAAGCTGGAATGTAGAGCATGCTGGTGTCAGGGCACATGTGTGGTGTCTTGGGAATAATTTTTGTTTAGCTTTCTAAAGTATGTACCTTTCCACTGACCTGCGCACAGGCGTACGTTTAAAAATCTTCCCAATTGTGGTTAAACTGTTTCATAGGTAGGAATTTTTTGTTTTTTAGTGGATCCAGAAGCCTGGATAGTTGATTTTGAAGCTGCTTGGTCGAAGCCAAGTATTGTGTGCTAGCGGAGTGAAAGGTGTGTGTGATTGCCGCTTCTCTGTTCCTAGGGCATCCTTGTCACCAGAAGGAATGGACTTCAGGCTTTGGAACCAACTTCTTCAGTTTCAGGGTGACATCAGCAGACCATTGTTTTAGCTTAAAGGGAGCTTTAATTGGTCAGAGTGAACTTTGCTACAGTAACAGGTTTTCTGTGCTCAGAGGTTCGAATACACATTTGAGAAACTTAGTTTCTGTTTCTCCAACTCTGTGTTGGTTTTGGAAAGACAGGTTTTTCAAGAGGATAGGAAAGTTCATCTAAATACACTACACCATCTTCTTGACGATGTAATAAGCTCTTAATGTTGGTTTAGTTCCAGCAAATGTATCCTAATAATTAGGTTCAAACAATGTAAAATTACCTTAACCCTTAGTCTCATTGGCTTGGGAATTATTTAATTTAATGGTGAAAAGTTGTGCTTTTAGCCAAGTTTTGGACTAGTTAGAGAAAAAAGGTATAGCATGAATTAAAATGGATATTGTTGTGAGCTGACTTGTCTGGAATGTCTCATGGATGCGCTTCTGGCAAGAGCAAATAATTTGTTGTGGGTATTTAGGTGGTAATAGGACGTAATTTTGGTCACAGTGAAACTTTGAGATAAGTTTCTATTTCCTTCATTGCCCTGTCATGATTATGTAATGGATGGAGCTACTCATAGTTTGCCTATGGAAAAGTTGGAGGTAAAGGTGATTGGAGGCTTGGGAGAAGATGTAAGATGTAGAGATAATGGCAAAGGTGATCCTGTGCCTTCACTGGAAATCACAGAGTGGGGTAGTCCTGATTTCCTGAGGCGGAAGTGAAAAGTAGGCATAGCCTTAGTGGCTAGTCCTGCACAAGAATTTCTATGGATGCACTTTATGCAAAATAATCAGTTTATTGTTACATTTTAATGAGCGTATTTCAAATGGGCATGTTTTAACCATTTGCCTTTAAAAAAAGTTCAAGAGCTTTCTGGAACTATGTTTCATGTTACCCACTTGTATAGACAGCTGTACTGACCTTTCAGATCTCCACTATTCCAAGTACTTGGTACAAAGTAGAGCGTTCCTCTTTCCTTGCTCTCATTGTGGACCTTGAGGTCTGAACTCTGTAACCCGAGATATTTCCCTCTAATTCATTTACGTCTCTGGAAAGTTACAGGTCCCATGTTCCATAACTCTTAGAGGTAGTGTGGAAAATGTAGCTGGAGCTTCAGGGCAGAAGCATACTGGATGAGGCAACGAGCTGGGGCTTGGAACTCAGCCTCGGTAGGAGCCCACTCCCTCTTCAGAGAGGAGAGCACTTGTGCGCACTCCGCAATTGCAGAATTGCAGCCACAAGGGCAGAACAGCAGAAGCTGCACGTCTTATTAACGTGTTAATGTTTACAAAGCTCTGAACTCAATAACCTCAAGGAGCAGTAAGAGCTCCTTGTTTCAGTTTGTCGGGCCAGGGGCCAGTGCCTGTTGCTTTTCTTTACCACTGGAAGTAGCCAAAAAAAAACTTTTGAAGAAAAGCAGGAGGTTAATCATGTACACTTCTCTCCAATTTGAACACTGGAAGATGATTTCTGTTCAGAAAGGATTCTTCTTTGTAATGATGTGTTCCCATGTAGCTGGTTAACTGTGCTGGAGTGGTAAATACTGCAGACAGTTGTGACAAAGGAGGACATGAAAATGTTAATTTATTTACAGTCCATGACAAATTACTTTGGACATCAGGAGCTGTATGTCACTCAAAAGTATATGTCACTTGCATAAAAATATAATTTTACTATATATTTATTTATTCTGAAATATAAATAACAGTAGTTCATATCCTCAGAGTTTCAGTGATAACTTACACTGCTCTGTAGTCAATTCTGCTGGTAAATTATGCGTTTTAGACCTAAAATTTCAGCTGATTGTATCTCATGGTCCTGCTAATTCCATGCACCATCTTGGAAGAACTTCCTTTTCCTTGAATTGAGAAGCCTCTTGAAAAGGCATTGGTAAACCTGAAAAGAAGCTACTACACAGCTGTATCATACAGCTTTTGAGCTTCTAGCTTCAAATTTTAATATGAAATAGCAATGCAGTCCTATGGTTAAAGATGGATTTTAGCAATGTGATCAGTCTATCAGTGTTTCAAAAGAAGGAACAAATGTACCTAACTAAGCTACTTAAACCAGCTTTTTTACATATCTTCTCTAGCTCTGCATTTTGTTTAGGAAGCAAACAGTGAATAGGCAAATGGTTATGCAGCTGGAAAAGGTGAAAGTAGTTTTTCAGTAGAATAATTAAAATGTGGTCATCTTCATTCTTTGCCACTTTATGTCTTAAATCTCCATGTAGAAACAGTTGCCTTCCAGATTATTTAGATCACTTATTGGGTAAACTGAATTTTCCTCAGCCAGATAAGATGTTGCTAAGTGTGTGGGTTGAGTTGCTTTTTGGTTTCATACGCAGTGTGCTATGCTTACTGTTGGATATGATTTTATGAGGAATTACAGTGCCATGTTGTATTATAGCTCATGCTTAATTGTTTTATTGTTTTCTTGTCAGGTGATATGAAAGATGACATGAGTGACGTACAAGTGAATGGGAATGCTGGCCATTATCCTCTGGATGAAGAGGAAGTTGAAGAAGACTCTAGTGCACAACTTAACATGCGTGGAGTTTTCCTGCATGTTTTTGGAGATGCCTTAGGTTCAGTAATTGTGGTAGTGAATGCCTTGCTCTTTTATGGCTTGTGGAATCCATGTCCTGAAGATGGGCCTTGCTTTAATCCATGTGTCAATAATCATTGCATGGAAAATGCTACTTTATCCCAAACACTTGGCAGAGCTGTCGGGTCAGGGCAAGAGAGCATTACGACGGCTGGTCCTTGCTGGTTGCTGTATTTAGATCCTGTCCTCTGTTTGATTATGGTCTGTATACTCCTTTACACAACTTACCCGTTACTTAGGGAATCAGCCCTCATCCTTCTACAGACTGTTCCCAAACAAATAGACGTCCATTCTTTGAACTCAAAGTTACGTACCCTCGAAGGAGTGGAAGCAATCCATGAATTACACATTTGGCAGCTAGCAGGCAGTAGGATCATTGGCACTGCTCACATCAAGTGTCCTGACCCTTCCACGTACATGATGGTGGCCAAGCGCATCAAAGAGATCTTTCACGACGAAGGGATTCATGCAACTACCATTCAGCCTGAGTTTGCCAGCGTTGGCTCTGAGTCAGGGAGAGGGAAATGTGAGTTTCCTTGCAGGACTCAGTGTGCTTTGAAGCAGTGTTGCGGAGCAGGAGAAGCTAGTACTGCAAAGAAGACAGAAAAATCCTCGTCACTTAGTATTTCTTGTTCAGAAGTTGTCATTGAATTTCCGAAAACGAGGAGGACTAAGTCGGAGACCATCCCTTCAGTGAAGCTGGAGGTGAACACCGATCAAAACGAGCAATTTGAGTCATCTTTGTAACTCCCTGAAGGGTACTACCTGAGTTGTGGAGACTTTGTCAACAGCTGTGTTGCAAGAGGAAGAGACAGACGTTTGAGATGAAATTTTGCCAAATAGTGTAATTGCTGAAGTCCTTGTTCTTGTCATATTGCTAAATATAGAATGCTTGTTTTAAAGAATATAATGTCACTGTCATGATACAAAGTGTTTGTGTTGACTTTGTTTGACTGAGACAGAGAGAAAGTGCATCCATGCTGTAACACTTCGGAAACCCAGTTTCAGCATTTCAGCAGAGACACTTTTTGCTGTGCTTCAAATTAAGATCCTTTTTTCCAGTGAAAAGCTGTTTGAGGGATAAGCATGTAGGAGCTCAATTTGTGTTACAGATTTCTTCGACCTACTTTTTCCTTTAATATTTGATTTGTAGATATCTTAATATATTGTTTATTTAGAAGCCCTAAGAAAACCAAAGTTCATAGAACATTTTTAAAAGATATAACTACTAAAAACTGGAAACCACTTTGCAGTTTCACATTATTTTTTTTAAAGCTATGTAATAATAATAAAAATTGTGAAAGCTTTTCTAGTGAATTTATTGCACAGCATATTTTAAAGACAACATCATGTGATTTTAAGAAATTGTCCCCTTTTCTTCTGGTAAGGTAGTGAGGTAATTGAAAACAACAGTTGTGAAAGGGTTTTTTTCTGTCAGAATGGCAGTTCAAGCTACTGTATACTGTTCTGTGATCAAGACATGAGACTGGTCGATAAAGTAACACAGACTTTTACATTTTATGGATTTTCTGCTGTTTTCCCTTAATTCTAAGTTGTGTCTGTTCATGAAAGTCTTTGAGGTTTAAAGTAACCTTGGCTCAACAGTGCTATGAATAAATATTTAGCTGATGCTGAGTTTACTAAGATAAAATAATTAATTCTGTCAATAAGTGCTCTGTTGGGGAGGGTCTGCCAAGCACTGACAGTATAACTCCTGCTTTCAAGCACAGACAGCAGCTCCCCAAAAATAACGGTGCATTTTACTTCTAGCTGAGTGTGTCTGTAAACACTTGCAGTGACTTCAGTCCTGGTTCCCCCTTGTGTCCTCAGGAACCCTCCACTGACTTTTGAGGAAGTGGTGCAGGGATCACTGTATTTCACACTTAGAGATGTTTATGTATCACATAATTTCACTTACTCAAGTATCTGAATCTATGGTTTAAAATCTTGACTCAGTGAATTGACAACTGGCTCTAATGAAGCTGTTACAGTGTTCTGCCAACTTACACCTTAGGAAAGGGGAAACTGCTCAGTGGACTCTGTGAATTTGGTAGAGAGGAGAGCTGAAAGATAAAACATACAAGAAATCTAATCTAAAATCCTGGCCCTTTTGATCTACTCTCATGTTATGTATGGAAACTAATGTCTTGTGATTAATGGATTGCTCCTGAGTGCAAAACTGGAAAAAAACTCAGATCTTCCATTCTGCTCTATTACTCTGGACATGATAAACACTTTGCCTCAGTTTCCCTGTCTTCAAATGGGGATAATACCTACCTCACAGGGGTGTTGTGAGGCTTAACTATTGTGTGAAGAGCTCTAAGATCTGTTACTGGAAGGCACTGGAAAGAGGATAAGATACTAGATTACCTGGCATTTACTACTTCTACAAATGTATTGCAATACCTAGGCACAACCAGAGGGAACTGAGGATAGTTTTGGCCTTACAAAATTCTTCAGTGCTGTGGTTTTCAGGTTTTTAACAGTATTTAAATGTAGATTTTTTTAAAAAGAATGTTTTGTTAGTGAAGGGAATGTAGCTTCGCCTCCAGATACGGAACATCTCCCTAGGTTGCATTTCTAATTTGTGTCTTGCATCATAATTGCTCCTAAATAGCACAAAAAGTAGTCCTGCTGCTCATCGGACCTGGATTGGCCCAAGTCATGTCAGTGGTCTTAGCGAAGCTCTCAGCAGAGCATTGCAGTCAACTCTGGATTATCCACGGGTGGGTTACAGTGTTGTGCATCGCCCGTGCAGTCTGCGGAGCCAAGACCAGCCCCCGTCTCACGCCACGCTCCGGCCGGGCGCTGTGTGCCAAAGCACGGGGAAGCTGGAGGTGCTGGCTCTGCTTCCAGGGAGCCCCATTGCAGGCTGCATTGCTGGGCTGCAGCACAGCACTGCCGGGGGTTCTGCCTCTTGGCTGCTCAGATGCATCTGCAGGAAGCTGCGGGCTGTGGACAGGTGGGCTCGGCTTTGTGCTGGCTTGGGGTGTTGGTGCTTCGCAGCCACCAGCATTGCTCCCCTTTTTCTGTGTTTATGCTTGTTGTATAGTCTCATAAACTAACTTAAATGTGTTAATATAGTATTTATATATGTTTTTGTTTTTTCTGACGTATCTTAACTCTTTTCTGTTACCTGTATATGATCTAGAGTTGACTGTTAAATGAGATCTTGTATGAGACTACGTTTGCTGAGTATGCTACCACTGCTACTATACTACAGAGTATTAACTGAGTAAATTTTGAAATTAACAAAGTACTATTTTTTTTAAATGTGTATCCTTGCTTTCTATGGTAAACTTTCACTAATTATTTTCATCACTAGTTTAAAATTTGTCTCAGTTGTTAGTTGAATTGTTGAGGTTCTGGTTCTGCCATATATCACTAACACACTGTAGAACTACTGTTCTTTAGTTTATTTTAAAAAATACCAACAAATCTAACCATGGTAGCACTGTGAAGTCTGATTTACTTCTTTCCTGTTGCTCTTATAAAAAGAGGGCAACTGGTAAGTCTTAACAGTTACCATCATTGGTTAATAGTCTCAGTAAATGCATCTGAATAGAAGGAGTTGTAATCACTAATTCCATTTTTAACTATTTAAAATCTCTTCTTTTTTTTGCCAGAAGTCATATTTTTCTATTTCTGTGTCCATTGCAGGCAATGGCTAATTAAAAATACAAAAAGCTCTCCCCCTCGTTATTTTAAGTATCAGGGCAGGATGGAGAGGTGACAGTGATGATGGTGATGAGGATGGGGGCAGGAGGGGGGGCTGCGTGGCCTCTCTGTCATGTGCCCTGTCGCACGTGCAGCACTGGCTGGTGTTACCAGGGCCCTTTATTCTCCTTAGCCCTTGATGATAAACTCCCTGAAAGCACAGAGTGAGGTCAGGTGGTGGCTCTGCAGCAGCAGAACACAATTTCTCCCTTCTGGCTGTTGGAGACCCAACCATAGCCCACTAGCTTGTGAAACAGCTCGGGTTTTTTTTTTAACTTGATCTGTCTGGGTTTATACAGACCTGATTTGTTCTGAAGATCACAGTTTTAGAATACTGAAAGCATTCAAAAGCACTGCACAGTCTCTCTTTATTTTATTTCTTTTTCCACAAAGCATGCAACTAGTGAATCTCATGTAAGTGAACACTGCAGTGGTGGGGAGCTAATTGTATTGTGTATCACATTCCTGAATTTTTAAAATAAAAACAATTACGGAATACTTATTTTAAGGAAAAGTAAGTTTGTATTTCAGTGTCTAGATTGTTCAGGCTTCTGATTAAATGTGTCAGAGATGTACCAAACATCACTGGATGAAATATTTTACTACATGTCTCATCCAGGAACATGCTATTTTAGAATCACTTCCTAGATTATATCTGCACCTAAGGTGAGGTGCAGAATTAATTCAGACACTCAGTGGGCTAGCCACAGTACCATCAGTCTTCTTTTTTAGCAGAGTAAATTGTTTCTGTGGAACCCCTAATAATTGTAGCTCATTTGTTTTCAACACCCAGTGTGGGCTTTGGTAATATCTGTAGTTGCCACATCGCAGTGTGTGGTATGGACATACACAGAGTTATGTAAAAGAACCGGCCCCAGCTTGTGACTCCCCAAAAGTCATGGCAAGGGCTCAGTCCTGAAAATTTCTGTATTCTTAAATAGTTTCATCAGGCTGACGAGTACTTACTTGCACACCAGGAATTGCTTGTGGGAGTGAGTCCAAAGCTTCTGCCAGTGTAGCCTGGCTTTTAAAGAAAAAAGTACCTAGATTTTATTGATGTATTAAAATCAAGATTGCTATGGTGTTTCTAAATTTGCTGTAGAAATACTGTCATTTTTGTGTAATTTGAGAATTTGTTCCTTTTCCCCATTCTCCAAAAAGGGAAAAAAATCCACTGAGTGTCCTAAGACTTGTTAGCAAGTTTAGCTAAACTGATATTGTTAGTTTCTGAAATCAGGCCATCTGAATTTATTAAACACTGCCTGGTGGACTTTGGGGAGGAGGGATAAAGATTCTTGCCATTCTCCTTCCCCTGCCCCCTGCTTTCTAATCTCTTCAGCTATGGGGAGACCAGGAGGGATGGAGGGGGTGAATTTTGTAACTAAATGTTCCGAGTTCCACGTGGAGGGAATGGGAAATACTGCTAACTATTTTTAAAAGCATATAAATATGCTCTGACTATTTTAGCTCCATAGCATAGCATCAGTTACACCCTTTTTAGGTATGCTTTTAAGTGGTTCAGGTCCACAGTATCTTTGGCTTTTCCTTTCTCTGCTAGGCAGAAAGAGGTGGATGCTCCATTTGCCTGAGCAAAAGCCAGAGTTGACAATTTTCCAAATCAAATGTAGCTTTGCTGATAACAGAAGGTCTGATTATTCCTTGTGACCTTTGCTTTGTGTGGTTAGCTGCCTGTGAGGTACAGCACCATGTTTTAGCAGGCTCACATTTATATTTTTTGCACTCACTGTGTTGTCTAACTAGTTGAAAAGCAAAACCACAAAGCTGAAAAATATCTTTCATCTGTGTGTCTCCAAAAAGCACATGGGATTAATTTGGCTACTTTTTTTTTTTTTTTCATGTCCTGGATCCTGTTTCTGAACAATGTTAAAATATAATTGGCATAGTTTGTTCATTGATGATACTTCTTTTTGCCTTCTTTTAATATAAAGAATAATGTTCTTTTTTTTTTTCTTTTATTTTGTTCTGTTTTGTTTTTAAGTATTAAAGTGCTGAGAAAATAAATGGAGCTTTTGACTATCAAATACATTTAGTTGGGATTTCTTTCTCAGATCAGCTCCCAGGAAGGAATTTAACTAGTAGAAATACACATTCGCTATCTCCCAGAACATCAAAAAGAGAGGAAAATAGCACAAATAAAGGAGGTGGAGGTTAGTAAATGGGTTTTAAAGTTCTGGCCTCCAACTGTCTGGGTTCCAGGTGCAATTAAAAGAATAGTTGCTCAGTTCTAGTATTGTTAAGGGTTAATTATGCAAAAGGCATTTTTTTATCTCAAATGAAAACAGCTTTTGAAAAGAATAAAAAAAAATCATCTTGACCTGTTAATTGGCCGTGGTTAAATATCTGACATAAGGGTCAATAAGGTAGGCTTCCTAATAGGACTCTATTCTGCTCTTTCCATGTCTTTGGAAGAAATCTGCTTTAGAGCAGAAGATGCTTTGGTGCTTTTCAGCTTCAATTGTTTCAATTCAGAAACACTACAGTTTGCACAGTTTTCTGGGAGAAAAGGACTGACTGCAGATGCCAGCACTAATACTGAGGAAGGCAGGATTGTGACCAATACCTGCCTTGAGCTGTTAACAAGCTTCCAGTGATGAGTTCATTTTGGAGCTCCTTTTTCTGCTTCAAGAGGGAAAAGTGATTCCACCTTATTAGTTAAGTGTGTGGGAGGATATGTTTGGTTGTGCTGTAAGCACTGCATGAGTTTTGCCTTTTCCAAAGCTGCTTCTACTTCTACATGACATTATGTGATTTGAACTTACTATGAACATCCTTTATGAGAAGTGCTGGTGTGAGGTTTTAAATTAGTAGGAAGGGAAGCTTCAGATCTGTAGCTTATTTTTGCTACAGGTACCTTCCCCCATGTAATTCCTAGACCTTCTACCCCAGATAGTTGCCTGACCACAAGGACCACCAGATCTAGCTCCCAGAACAACTCCTTGCTGCTTTTCCATTGGAGGAGCTAATGCCACAGGAGCAGGGTGGGATGGGAGCATCTGACTCCAGGCAGACAAGCACTTTCAGCAGGCAGCTTCTCAGGCTGATCTCTGCTAGCATCCCAAACCTGTCATGGAAGCCTTGCCACTAAAACTTTGGCTAGCATTTATATGTTTTTGTGGTTTGGTTTATAATTTTTTTTTTTTTTTTGACAACACAAACCTTAAAGTATTGCTGAGACCAAATGGCAATCCCCAACCCCCATCACCCAAGCTCTGTTTCTAGTTACAGCATTGGTCGGCTTCCCAGCATTTTGCTCCTGCACCAGCTCCTGCAGCTAAGAATAGCCCTAGTGATGCTGTGGAACAGGATGTGCAACCTGCTGGGCTTCCTGCATTTGTGCTTACATTGCTGGCCTGGGCTGAAGCCTGTCCTCATCTTCCCCTGGACTCACTGGGTGAATTTTTTAGGCTTAATTTCTTGGATTAGGCTTGCTGTGGGTTGGCCCACGTGTTCCAGTTGCATTCTGTGCTATAGGCAACTGCATTCTGCAGTATAGGCAAGACCTCAGCTGAGGGAGATACTCACTTGCTGCCAGTCTTCTGTGCTTCAGAGTGTGTCTGCTGAGTGTAAGTGGATGCTGCTGGCCTGCTGCAGACCTGGATTCAAGCTTCACTGCTTGGTTTGATGTTACTGTGTGATCCCTGTAGCTGAGGGTGCAGCAAGTACAGCACAGGGAGTCTGCAGGTAACTGGGTCACTGCTGCTCACCTGAGCTAGGTGCTCATACCCTAGTTTAGGAGTGAACAACACTCCCACAGATAAATGCTGCACATATTGCTATGCCCTCAAGATTTTTTCATTAGACAGCATTGACTGGATACTCACTTCGTTGTTTTACCCTGTGCTGCCTTGGGCTCTCCTCCAGTCAGTTGCAGACAAGCACATTTTTCCTTGAGAAAGGGATTATGTGAATTTAATCTGGGCGATTATTTTCACTTGTACTTTTGTGGGCATGTAGGAAGGTTCTGACCCAAATGGATGGGGCTGATTCTGCATGCTTCCAGCTGAGTGCTAGGAGGAATTTGGCTGAGGTACTAGATAAAATCTAGGCTCAAGTAATTCTTCCTAAATATCCATACTGGCAGAGGTCTTAGGTGTCTGTGTCATGATAGTTTGAAGTGATTTTCTCTTCACATTGCTGTTCAAAAAGAAAAAAGGAAAGAACTGTGTTTAATTATGACAATAATTATTACCCAGCCTTGGTAGGTGTGTTTCCAGTTCGCCGAAAACCTCCCTGCATGCGGCAGCAGCACAGTGGAGACACTGACAAGTAAGTCGGCAATTTATTGCTAAAAAGAAGGTGTTTGGTACATATGCTTGAGCTTGGAAGTGGAATGACACTTGGCACCATAATGTCCCAGTTATCTTTTTCTGAAGGAGTAGGAAAACTGCAGAATTAACTATTGAGTCAAGCTGCGTGGGCAGAGCTCCTGTGTCAGAGCTGCGCTGGCGTCACAGCCGCAGCGTGACATCACGGGCCGTATGTGAAAAGCCCAGAGCATCACCCAAGCTCTCTGTGTTATTG